TTAAAACTTATAGGTGTTAAACATAACATAATCTGTTTTCAACTTCTTCACTTTTGGATTCTCAAGGTAAAAATTATCCATTGAAGATACAACTTCCAGTTGATTGAATTTGATATTCTTCCCAAGTTTCTAATAATGTTCTACAAGAAACTATTATAGATGCCTAACTGAACTCTCTGCAATATATAAATCCATTTGGCCCGGATTTTCTGAGGAATTTACTCCCTACTTCCATTTCTCAACCCAAAAACTGATAAATTTAATAACATAGCATGATAAACAATCAGAATGGTTCATCTTTGTTGATGATGCTAACTGCAATGTTCAAAATAAGCCCTGTGACATTCCAGTTTGAGGCTCCTCAAACCTATAACAGTGACAAAGTTCAATGTTCTTATTTCAAACAAAGATGAACAGGTTCCTTCTTGTGCTAATTAATATGCACCTTTCTGTTCAATTGAAAGTCTTTTAGGAATACCAATAATAAATTTCCTCTTTAACCAAGCAGTCTTCCCTTAATTGGCAAATAATAACTTCATTATTTGGTGAATATATATATAACTTGGCTAGAATTTGCATTTATGAAAACTTGTCTTTAATCAACAAGAGAGAAAGGGGAAGAAATGTTGTGGGTTAGGATTTATTTTAATGGAGGTTAAAGTTTGGTGAGTTGTTGGAAGGTTAAATCTCTGGCAAAATGGGTAGGGAGGGACTGGTGGTGTATTTTAATTGAGTTAGTAGAGAGGAGAGTTAATAGGAAATCCGAGTTCAATGTCATCATGCTAATACCTCAGAATGTGTCGATTTATGGAATAAGTAGGTTTATTATTGAATTACGAGTTTTCTTGTCTATTTTTGTTTGTTATTGGTTAGACCCAAACCAGTTCTGCATATTTACTTTTTGAGTGGGGTCCAGGTGTACCTTAACTCATACCGACAACACTTTTTCTAAGTTAAGATTATTTGTTTCTATAAATTATTAATTAATAATTTAATTCACAATAAATAATGATATATATATATATATATTATTTACAAAAATAAAAATATTATTTATAAAATCAAATTAATTTTTTTTTTTTTTAATTTTCATGTCAATCTTCTATACTTTGGGGGCTGGGGCTGTGTCAAGTCAGTCCCTGAACTTCAATGGCTATTAATCAATACAGTTACGAGACATCAGGTGCACATTAAATATTTTCAAAATAACAAAACTACCCTTTGTAATATTTTTCAAACCATTTTGCCCATTTCACTTATGGGTTAAAAGAAAGGGAGAAAAGGGGTTTTCGGCTCAACTGGACGAAGAAGGCTCCCTTGTTCAAACTCCCCTGTGCAACGAGCAACAACCGGACGAAGAAGGTGGACTCAAATGGATGTCTTCTCAGTTAACTACCAATCAACATGCTAGGTACCTTAAATACAGTCTAATGGTGGATTGTAAATGTGGTAAGAGGGTTGTGATTTGAGTTTCATAAACAAACTATAATCCGAATAGGATTTTCTACAGCTGCCTGATTAGTTAGGTAAGCAAATAAGTTTCCTAGTGTTGTATGATATTTAGTACACTGAAGGGATGCTGACCTCAATTGCATTGCATTTGAATGTATTCAAAGCAGCGTATTTCCACCATGCAATTTTTTTTGTGGGCAATTCCTACGAATTTTTCTAATGAAGACATCTCAGCAATGTTTTACCTGGAAAACCGTATCAGAGAACTTAAGGAATTAGTAGCTGATTTGGACCTTCGTATGAAGGCTATGGAATCCATCCAACATGCAGTTATTGAAGGATGGAAGACCATGAGAATCTTACTTATTGTGTTCATCGTTGCCTTTATTGGCATATACATTTACAAGAGATAGGATTATCTGTATCTTTGTTTTATTTTGATCATGTGAAGAATTTGGTTGTTAATGAACCTCCCTTGTTATATGAGAATGGTTACGTTGATGATGGAGACCTTATTGTGGGGTAATGAAGAGTTCACATTCTGGAAATTGAGCTTTCTTCTAATCAAGAGTTTACATTCAGGATCTTTTTCAGATGCAATCTGATAAGGCCCTAAAACCTTTTACTTCCAGTAAAAAAAAAAAAAGAAGACACTACCAATAAAACAAGTAGATAGCACTCCAAATTGATTAATGGACTAATCAAATTGAGATGCAAATTAACATTTGGTAGATGATTTCTACATGTGGTCAAGTGGTTCTATCATGTTCAATATTTAAAAGGGAAAAAATGTTAGAAGTAAAAGTAAAAACGTGTGTTCACCTTAATCTATTAACATCCCATCAGATTAATCTTAATGGAAGATGAGGAAAAGTCAATAATTCCTCAGTGTGATGAAACCTACTAGCATCCTCTCATATCACTAAATAACCTCCCTTATTGTTCACCCTAATTTGCATCTTAATGCATAGTGTGATCCAATGTAATTGGAATGATAAAAATCTTGGGTTGACAGTTTGGCTTTAAGTCTTAGAATGGTCATAGAATGTGCAGGAACTTAGATGTTGCCCACCTTTCCATCTTTGATACCAATCAAGAAACTCCAACCTGCAATCTCCCTAGATTCATTTAGAAATTGAGCCAACCTGCAAGAACCACTCATTAGACTCTCATTCCAACTCATTTTGTTCAGACTTCTACAGGAACACCTAGCACTGGTAAATTTTGACTGATAAAAATCCAATTAAAATTCTGGAATTCATCAGGAGTTTTGATTGCTAAAAAGAAAAAAAAATCCAATTAAAGATATGGATTTCACCAAGAGTCATGACTGCCACAAAACTCCAGTTAAAAAGTGGCATTCATCAAGAGTTTTGACTCTAAAAAATTCCAGTTAAAAACTGGTATCCATCATGAGTTTGCACTGTAAAAAAAAAAGAAATCTAGTTAAATCTGGATTTCATCAGGAGTTTTGACTGCAGCAAAAATCTAGTTAAACATTAGTATTCAACATGAGCTTTGACTTGAAAAATCTAGTGGCAACAGGATTTTATCCCAAGTCTCTATTACGAGTCAGAAATTTATTTATTTGATAATATATAAAATCGAAAATTTGTGTCTTGATTATAGATCCTCTACAATCTCATGGATCAAATATTTTTAAATTTAATTATATGATTTTATAATTATTAATTAATAATTTAACTCAAATAATGATATTTAGCTAGTGACTTCATATTAGTAATTTGAAAAGCTATATAGTATATATCTTGCACTCTTATATCGATATGACTACATTTGATACAACAATATCCAAGGGTTGTACATGGCATGGGTGGAATGGTCCAATATTAAAAGCATTCCTCTTATAGCCCATATTATTGTTAGTATTGGTTGGTATGGTACATACACAATACACAGGGTACCTATCTGTCCGCATGGGCTTGTATAGATATTAACCAATACAAACCATAGTATTTGAAATTCATATTAAATACTTATTAATTGTGCCATACAAACCATTAAATCCCACTTACTCATTAATTGTTCCTTTACTCACATTTTGTGCCCCATTAATTGTAGTCCTTTTAGATTTTAAATTTATAAATTTACATATGATATATATCTTACAAATTCTAATGGATTTAATATATTTTTATAAAATAAGGTTATATATCTTTATAAATTGTTAATTAATGTTTTAGTTTACAATAAATAGCATGTTTATTATATACAGAAAATAACAATATTATTTACAAAATATTTAAGAATTTAAGATTTAGTTAACTTATTTTTTGTTGATATATAAAACAATATTAAAATAGAAAAAAAAATGATTTTGTAATTAAAACATAGAAGCTGCATGTGATTCGTGTATTGGATCATCCATAATCTCATTATTCCAATATGTTTTTTAGATTATATAATTATTAATTAATAATTTAACTTAAATAGATAATAACATATTAATGGTTTTATGCTTGTAGTAACTTATAAAAATCAAGAAGTTATGTGTTTTGGACTCTTAGTTAACATCAACACATTGTCAATAAAGTTGTACGATATCTATATATCCCACAATATAGATTGTTATGTATTTCTATATAAACTATTAAAGCATGTGTTTCTTATATATTCATAGTTTTTATTTTAATTTTCCTTTCTTATAGATGAAGTAAAGTATCGACACGTATCAGCCAATACATATCATGCCAGTGGTTCAGAGGGGCCCGGCTATCCTCTGAACCAATTTCAAAAAAACTAAGTGAAACATAAAAAAAAGCACCGACACAGGCCGATACGCTCTACCAGCATATCGGCCCGTGTCGATATTTAGAACCTTCTTGCTATCAAAATGTAGGACTATAATAACTTGGGCCCCAACCTTAACTCAATCCAAAATTAAGTCAAATTCATACTTTTCAACCTTAACCCAAACTTTTAACTGGACCCCAGTTTTTCCGGTTGGTTTGAGATAACCCAACCCAAGTTGCAGCCTTAATTTCCAAGTTTATTGATACAATACCTGAAATGAATATTTTGAACATTGCCCCGACGCAAATTTCGTTCAACCAAAATTAAATATTATACCCTGGCATGTTGCTTGTGATATTTCTTCATATAATATAAATTATTAAAGCATGTGTTTTTTCTTTGACAAAAAAAAAAATACATGCTTTATATGTTTACCTTATTCACGATTAATTAACCTTGGATTCAATGTCAATAATGTACAATGTATTTATGAAATTTGTAAGAATTTACTTAATGAATCCAGATGTCTCCAGATTTTTTTCACTGTATCCATGTGTAGCATCTCGCATTGTCCATCCATTTCTTACCTTAACAATACATTTCGCTATACAATGATCTTGAAGCTTGCTCATTTCACAAGCTATGTATAGCACGGAGTTAACATGGAGTTACGTTTTTTTTATTTTTTGGTAGAAAACATGGAATTAAAGAATTTAAAACCAGGTGGATGATGAATTACAGAAAACATGCTAGAAATCTACCTAACAAAGAAAAATCCATGTGCCCATGAGAAGGAAAAAAAAAACTGAGTCCACCATAGAGGGGTTTGATCATTGAACAGATTGAACTAAATCAACTCTTCAATATTAGTCATTAAACATTTTCAGTTTCTTTAGAACCTAATCTGTTCTTTCAAAGCTAACCCTGGACCTCTATCCGATGTATAAATGACAAATGAACAGAAATGGAACAAAGCCACTGGTTAAAATGATAAGTCCTTTGGAAACCAAATGCCTGGAAATTTTGATTTACTCCTCAGTCTTTTGAAGTTACTACCAGCAATCCTAGGGCACCAATGAGTAGGTACTGCAAGAAACAACATCAAATGTCATAGTTCATATAGTGAGCGAGCAAGAAGTTTCTAAGGAAAGAGTACCATTTCAAAACAATTCTTGCTTGCAAGCTCTTTTAATGAGAAATTTGTTAATGATAACCAAGAGAATGGGCATCAAGTAACATCTTGAAACTTGAATATTGTAAAATTGTAGAATCAGAATCGTAACAGTATGCTATAAATACTGGTTTCCACCACTGGACATTGTTCTATTAACCAGTAATATCAGTTCCAAGAACATTCATGATAAACACCAAAGAGAAAGAAAATGGGGAAAAAAGACAACCGTGCTTTCCCACTGATGCAAGGAGCAGATCCAGGAAAAATCATAGAAGCGCACACAAAAGGAAAAATAAAAGAAAGAAAACCACTGGTTTCCCACTAGAGAAACAGTTAATTATAAATAAGAAACTAAAAAAGCAGTAATTAATTTATTAACCGCTATTAGCAGCAGTATCACCAAATATAAGATATTCAAATGCAACGAAAACAAACCTTAATAATGGGTTTTTCGGTCATGATAATAGTGACCCATCCAACATATGGTAAGAACCTGCAAAAAAAAGTGAACAAAGTGAGCAATACATATGGGAAATAAAGCAGGTCTAAAGCCTCCTTTTATCCTTAGACGGTTTTCTTTTTAATTTTAGTCATGTGCACTATGTTTTCATGTGAAATTTAGTTGGACACAATGTAATACATAAGCAAGAAAGAAGAAAATCATCTCATCAGGACAAATCAAACCATATAGAAAATTATATCAAGCAATGGCATGTAAAGGAGTGAATGGATCAAAAGAGTGAGAAAAAAGGCGTAAGGCAGTTACTGATAGATGGGGAAGAGAGGATGCCAATCCACTCCATAATACAGGCATATCTCACAGTACAAAAACAGATAACATTTGTTTGGATGATACGCCATACAACTACAAATGCTAATTGCAATTGACCATATGAAGAAAGTTGAAACTATAGCATTATGGTTATCTCTTAAAGTGCACATAACGTTTGCAAGTACAAGTTGGCCCCCAAATAACTAATAATCATGGTAGAAATAGATCCTACTAGTTACTAGGGGTTATTAGATGGTGTACAATACCATGCCGTTTTAAGCTGAAGATGATTATCTCCTGCATGCACAGTATGCACATAACAATTGCAAGTACAAGTTGGCCCCCTAATACCTAATATATAGTAATCATCATAGAAATAGATTCTACTAGTTACTAGAGATTATTAGATAGTGCATGGTACCATGGTATTTTAAGCTGAAACAATGCAGCTTGAACTGACATTTTCAAGCTACACCGAGAACCAAGACATTTTGGCATGAAACAGAGTACAATATTTTATTATTGTTAGAATTATGTAGGCACCATTAGCCACCATCATCATCATCATCCAAGCCTTACCCCAACTTCATGGGGTTGATTACATGAATCCTGTTTCACCATTCCATCTTGTTTATTGGGGTCCAGTTTTCTTGGAGGAGACTCGTTAATCTGGTTCCATGGTATTTTAAGCTGAAAAAATGCAGCTTGAACTGCAATTTTCAAACTACACCGAGAACCAAGACATTTTGACATGAAACAGAGTACAATATTTTATTATTGTTAGAATTATGTAGGCACCATTAGCCACCATCATCATCATCATCCAAGCCTTACCCCAACTCCATGGGGTTGATTACATGAATCCTGTTTCACCATTCCATCCTGTTTATTGGGGTCCAGTTTTCTTGAAGGGAGACTCATTAATCTGGTTCAAGGGTTTTCTGGATGTGGCTGTAAATGCAGTGAAAATTCCAGATTGGAGGAACATTCTTCAAATGGAAGGCAAGGAATATGGTGAAATAATGAAGAGGAATCACAAGTGATGATTCTTGACCTTAACAGAAAGGTATGAGAACAGAGGACACAAGAGGTTGTGTTTCCCAAAAGGTAAACAGAGGCACGTGTGGACTGTGACTACTGAGGCATTTCAGGAGTTTTAACTGAAAAGAAAAAAGCAAAAGGTGCAGAAAAAGGGGCGAGGAGAGTGTATTTGAATTGATGGAAGATGAAGAAGAAGAAATGAGTATTACCTTGCTTTTGGTTCAACCAACATTGGCCCCAAAGATGGTTTTAAATGGCAAAAAGAAAACTGAAAGAAAAAATTGGTTCTAACAGTAAAAGACGAGGTTTTTTTTTTATTGAAAACCAATTGTAGATGCGATTAGAATTACTTTTGACCTTGGTGCTTCAGTCTTCCTCATGCCTTTTGACAGTAGGTGATTGCTGACATGGGCAAAGAAATTGTTGATTTTTTTTTTTTTTGAGAGAAAAATTTGTTGATGCTCAGACAATTGAGACAAGCAAAGGGTCGGTTTAGATGGAAAAATGGTATCCAACTTGGCAATGATAAGAGTTTCAGAGAAAACTGTTACCACTTACTGATCTCTTGCTCCTTTGCTACAGCTTTATGGAATTGGATTCTTACGTTGTTTGAGTGTAGGTGGAACCTGCCATCTGATACTAGTTTGTTGTTTAGTCCGTCTATTTTTGAATGGAACACAAAGAGAGGGAGAATTATGTGGAAGTGCATAAGAGCAGCTTTGTGGACAGTTTGGGAAGAAAGGAACACCAAAATCTTTTGTGAAAAAGAAAGGAGCTTCTCGGAAGTTAAAGAATGTATTTTGATAAGGGCAATTCAGTGGCTGAAAACTTTAAAGATCTTTGATGCATACTCTTTTGATGACCTATAGAGAAGTTGGTTAGCAGTGGCTAACTTCTACCAGGAAGGACAGACATGGGATTGAATGGATGCCACCAGGGGAGGAGTTTATTAAGCTTAACTTTGATGGAAGTAGCCAAGGAAATCCAGGACCTTCAGGCATAGGAGAGTGCTGAGAAACAAAGATAGTAACGTGATATCTTTGTACTCAGGTCCTGCGGGTGTGGGAGACTCTTTAAAGGCAGAATTACTGGCTGCTGTACAAGGAATCCGGCTTGCAAATCAGCTAGGCATAGAGCATCTGATTATTGAAGAGGATGGATTCCCAGGTGATAGTGGGTTGGCTGAAGGATCCAGACACTGTTATTTGGGCTTTTAGAGATCTTCTCAAAAAGGTTAAATGATTAACAAGGAATATGACAATCAGAGTTCAGTGGGTAGGCAGATACTTTATTTTGGGCTTAAGTGTAATTTCTTTTGTACTTATAATTCTGTAATTAGTTTTAAAGGAAATGTCGCATCTCGTGCCTTTCCACGGGTTGCATGTAACTCTTATTTGCTGGTTTAATAAAATTTCACTCATTTATCAAAAAAAATGATAAGAGTTCCAGAGATGATATTTTCACTATCAAGCTATTGGGTCTTCTTTTAATCACTGGGTTGGAAAGTTTCTGAAATCATTGTGACAGCCATTGGAGGTGTGCTTGTCAAGTATGATAACCATGATCTCCATGCTGTAAAGATTGGCATAACTGGGGTGAAACCAGAAGCCAAACCCTTCTCTGGAGTTGCAGGTGGATAGTCTTTGGTGTAAGGTTTGGATTGCGTTGGAAGCTGAAGCAACATTATGGAGGAACAAGAGAGAGGTTGAAGACAATGCTGGCATTGAGGATGGAGTGCAACGTGGAAGATGTGGAGAGGGAGAGGGAGGTGGGCGGGAGAAAGGAAGAAGGAACGACCAAGAGATTGAAAGACTAGTGTTTTAAAAAGGCATGGGAGGCATATGGCACCCCAAAAACGCCCTGAGGCACATGCCAAAGGCTCTCCTTTGAATGAGGTTGGATCAAGTCAAACCTGCGAAGGTGGAAGCTGAAGGAACGGGGGGGAGCTGGTGGCAGATTTGTAATTTGTGGAGATTTGAAGGGTATGGAGGGAGGAGCTATTAATTTTGATCCAGCAAGTGTCATAAATTTGAGAGCAGATGGGTCAAGTGGGCCAAGATATTCAAGTTGTGGATTTGGGCTGATGTCCTTAGGTGATGAAGGTTTTACGAGCAATAAGACAGCTGAGTTGGAGATTGGGGATGGGAGAGGGACAAAACAATTGATTGAGGGGAGCGAGGAAAGAAGGTAGGATGAAAATGTGGTGAAAGTTACCAGCTACTAATCAAATCTTTCTAGGTATGGATACATTTGGTGCATCACCAGGTACTGGTACATCTACAATGACAAGGTTGCTGACTTAAACCAAAGCTCAAAATATTGGGGTTTAGGTAGGGCCAATACAACTGGAGAGAGATTTGAGGGGGAAGAGGTTTTTGCTCTTCCCAGTTTCATGTGTTTAAAGGCTATGGTGGAATTCTCAGAAATTAGGATTCTTAACAAGATACTTGTTCATAGTACAAAGAGGGTGTAGTTGCAAGGAGGGGGGATTTGCAGAGTTGAAGGAACATGTCAAGTGGAGGTTAGTAGGGAGGTAGACACCCCACCATGCAGGGAATATAATGAAAGAATCACTCATGAGGAGGATGTAAGAGAAAAGATAGAGGAGATGTTTACAGAGGAAAAAAGAGAGATTGCTTCTGGCCGTGCTTGGTCTGGTGGAAAGGAAGAAGGGATTGGAAGAGATGAAGATAATGGTAGGAACTGCGATGAGGAGGCTCAACGTGAGATGATGCGGAAAGATTCTGGAGAGAACGAGATGGTCATGACAATCAGAGAAGAGCTTTCTACAGCAGGGGTGGTCGAAGAGAGCAAGGAGGTAGGTAGTCTCAAGGTGTTTAATAGAAATCAAATGTACAGAACAAGACCTTTGAGTCAAAGGGAAGAAGATGAATCTGGAAATGAAGGGGAAGAAAATCAAGAAAATGAAATTATGATGATTCAACACATTTAGTGGAGATCAGTTGATTTGGACTTGGTGATGAACAAGGAAGTGGAAGTGAGTAAAACTTTAGGTTTATTCTTTCAAGGGGGAGAAGAATTTGCAAGGAAGATATTTAAAGAGATGAGGGAATGGGATAGACTGGAAAAGATGTCGGACTATGATGGGGATGGGTTCAATTTAGGGGTAAATCTGTAAAGGAGAGCATAGTTAAATCGGGATTTTGGGGCTTGATGGGGTGGTTCCGTGGTTGACAAGAAAGGAGGTGAGGGAGTGGAATTCTTAACTTTTGAAAAGAATGCTGAGCTGGATTGGAAAGAATTAACAAAAATGACAGTGCAGTTGAAAATTTTAAGAAGAAATGTAACACAGTAAAGCATCTCAGAAAATTAAAGTGTTGACGGATGTTTCCGGTTTCGAAAGCTTTTGCAAGATTGAGGGGAAAAATGTTTGGAGCGGGGCCTGTAGAAAAGGTGAATAAATTCAAAAGGTTTAACAAGAGAGGGAGTAAACTTGCTGCAGTCGATTTTAAAAATGTAAAGTAACTAATATCAAGATTGTTTTGGGGGTGGGACGTGGGAGTGGCTGAAAGTTGCAGGGGTAGTTCAGATTTTTGGAGTGTTTTTTTTTTTTTGGTTCTTTTTTCTTCTTGGCTTGGGTAGCCTTTTTTTGGTTTTTGGGATGGTGTTGTATTGAGGATTGGGTTCGAAGTTTTTCTTTTCTGATTGGAAAGGGTAACTTCGTTAATACAATATTAAGTACAACTGTCAACCCCTAAACAGGTATCGAGTCCCCAGTGATCTTTATTACAAACTACCCAGAACATACTCTCCCTCACAGTCCCTTGTTTAGCCAACGTATCAGCTAAGCCATTAGCTGATCTCCTTGTCCATTTGAAGCACACACCAATCTCCCTTGTCCATTTGAAGTTCGGTTCTCATTGTTTCCTTCTCTAGGTTTGGGGAGATTGGTGGTTCGTGTGTTCACCGAATGGGTTTGGTCTTTTAGAAGTTTTTGTTATGCTCTCCTCTCGGGTGACTTCTTGATGTCACCTTTTTTATTTTCTTTTTTCCTTAATAAATTTTATTTTATATTCAAAAAAATTCCATCCTGCTTAATGCCATATCCATTGTTAAATCGTTGGCATTTAAATCTTTTCTTACTACTTCTATCCAAGTCCTTTTTGGTCTACAACTAGCCCTTCTAGCCCCTCACTTGCAACAAACCACTTCTTACAGGTGCTGTTGATGGTCTTCTATGCACATGTCCAAATCATCTTAGACTGCATTTGGCATTCCTTATTTTAAGAACTTGTCTCCTTTTTGCAGTAAAAATACCCCTATGATCAATGAGATTTTAACTGCAAAAAGGAGACAAGTCCTTAAAATAAGGAATGCCAAATGCGGCTTTAGTCTACTTTCTCTCATTTTATCACCTATTGGAGATACTCCTAGGTTCCTTCTAATAACTTCAGTTTTTATCCTTTCCTTTCTAGTTTTTCCACTCATCCATCTCAGCATACACATTTCTGCCACGCTCTTCTTTTGGACATGTTGTTTCTTGACTGCCCAACACTCTATTCCATACAGCATTGGTAGAGCCTTACAACTGTTATATAGAATTTTCCTTTTAAGTGGTATTCACCAAATCACATAAAACTTTGGATGATCCTCCATTTTGCCCATCCTATTCTAATTCTATGGGTGGCATCCTCCTCAATCTCTTCTTTGTTATGAATTATCAAATCAAGGTGCAGGAAAAGATCACCTTGAGTTATCTCTTGGTCTCCAATCCTAAGTGTACCCTGATTTGCACTCCTATTATTATTAAAGTACATAAAATATATTCTGTTTTAGTCCTTATTTTAGAAAACCTCTTTCTTCTAAGGCATTTATCCAAAATCTTGACTTTGCATTTAAAGGCACCATTAGGCACCACATACAATAAATGAAGTAGGAATGCCCTCTAGATTCAAGAAACACCATTATTGATGTTTCTTTTAGTGTCCCCCTATGTAAGAAGCAAGCAAAATGCGGTGTTCCCAACTTCCCATTTCCAGTTGAATCTACTCTGCCAAATGTGTCTTTTGAACAATTAAAGTTGAACCACCTATTTTGTGCTGATGCAGCAGTGTTTCAACCTGAAACAGGAATGGTACCAAAATGCATTACAATCCATTTTGTAATGCAGCTTCTATTTGTAAGTATACATGTATTAGGTTAACCTTTAAAAAGTTTTGCTTTTTGCATGCTTTGTCATTCACAATTAAAATAAAAGTAGCTTGTTTTGTTTACCATAATACAAGTATTAATTTCAATATAGAAAATACAGCAAAGAAAAGCAAAATGGAAAAAAGAAAAATGTTAACTCAGGATTTGCCTATTAAATGTCACAATGAATTAAAACTTGTTAAAATAAAACTCTAAAAATATAAATTAATGGCAGAAACAAACCGAATTGATTGAAGACCAAAAGGTAGGGATAAGTAATAAGAAATGGTTTAATTAGTTGGCTTCAAAGTAGAAAAGACGGATTGTCCTTTCAACTTATTTTATTATTTTATAATATCAATATCCCAAAAAAGAAAGCCTTAAAGCATATAATAGCCAACATAATGTTTCTTAAGGAACTTATTTTTTTTAGACTGAGCCGCCAATATTGCACTCGTTCTAATATTTAAGAGTATATAGAAATGCCCTTAAAAATTATCTATTTGTAGACATTATAGTAATTATAAACCATGAATCAAGTTGGTTCCCCAAAATTTTATTAAATTATAGGAGTTATTTATTTATAAAATATTACTTATAAGGGGGCCTACTTTAGTACATAAGTAATGACTAAACTAGGGCTGCAAATAGTATCCATTTGTCTGAATTTGAATTAGAATTTGATATGGTTGAGGGTGATCTGAACTGAATTCGGTCCTCTTATAAATGGATCAAATATGGTTCCATTCCTATCTGGTCTGACATAATCTGATTCAGTTCAGTTTAAATATATATTCGTAAAATTTATACAGAACTCATTTTATGCTGTAGTTCTATTAAAGAGTCATACATTCATGTTTAATACAAGTCAATTTAAATGATTTTGTTCATGATTTACAATATCAGTCACTATCAGTTCATTTTATTAATAACATATAATTTTTTTTTATCAATAACACTATTAATAACATATAATATTTTGATCATTTTCAATTCAATTTATTAATTCTGTTCAATATCCAATTGCAATCTGAGTTCAATTTGAACCTGATAATAAATCTGATGGATAAGATTCAATTCAAATCTAATCATTAAGAAATCAAATTTGGATCTAGGCATGTCCAATTTGATCCAACCTATTTACAGCTCCAGATTAAACAAGAAAAGAATAATGAAGTAAACCAGAGATCAGGTCTACCAGATAAAGAAACAAAATGCTCAAGGTCTTTACCCTACGGCTCTCCCCATGATATGGTGCCGGTGAAGCCAGAGCTGACCATGAGCATACAAAAGTCTGTCATCACCAAAATTATTATCCCCTAAAAAGAAAAAAGAACAGAAGGATGATGGTAATCAGTTTACAATTAGAGCTATCATAAGGTAGAATTAAGGAATAAACAAATTAAAATCAGAAAAAATATATATTTTTTTAAAATCCATAAACTTCGTCGGATATGATATACAGGTACCTTTGGTGAGTACATCTACTTCTCCTGTATCTTGTCGTTCATGAACCTACCAAATACGACGTAACCAAAGATAAAATCATTAACATAAAAGAAAATAGTAAGACCATTTTGAAACATTAATAAAGAATCAGAACATGAAGTGCTTATCTGACATTGACATAACCTCATAAAGCAGCAAGCCACTAAGGAGTAAGGACATTTTGTTTCAGGATTTAACCTTCTTTTATTCTTTTATATATGATACACAAAATGGCTTCACATTTTACTGCACAGCCCTTTATTCATGGTTGGTGCAGACCATTGATTCCATATTAATAAACATATCTGTGTTAAGTACATGGTAGCATTTAGAATGAATGCTCAGAAAAGATAAAATGCAGCTCCATCTGAAAAATTTAAGACAGATAGAAAGCTCACCACAAGAAGTACCCATCCCACAGCTGACATGGCTAAGCCATCTACAGTCGAGTTTAATTTCCTAATCAAGCGGATTTGGACATGTAAACTAGAAAGGCTATCACTGATATCATTGGGATATTGTACAAACCTCAATGGCACACTATTAATCCTTCGATTCTTGATGGTATTTGTTGAATCTTCATGGATAGCCAAGGAAGTCTCTTGAGTAACCTAGTTAACTTAGCAGTGGAAGAGAGTATACAAGAGTTGTATACGAGGTAGTTAAATTCAGAAACCCTGAGAAGTTTAAGAAACGTAAAGCATTGACTACTTTATGAAGCTAGCAAGAAAAAGGTGAGTGAAACAAGGACGAGAGAGAGTTTAAATGTAAGAGAAGATTGAAAGACTGTCAAATTAAAAACGGATATGCCTCTGCATAGTCCTTGTAGATCCTCGAAACAAGTAACTCCTAGACTATGTGATCCCTCTCACTTGACTCTCCCTTATCAATTCTGGATTCATGAACTTTTCCAATGAACATAACCTCAAGAACTGGATATCCAACTCTCTAACTGCACCATTAGTAGGGTAAATGAAATTCAATACAGAATGTTTTAAATCATAAATGAAATATAACATAGTAACAACTTTTGTCTAATTATACATTTAATGCTAAAAATGAAACCAGTGAACTGACACACATTATAGAAACATAAGACACCAAGCTCATAATCTTTCCACTGCAAGATCATTGGGGAGCCCAATATGAGAGGCAATGTTACATTTCTCAAGACAGACAAAGTTGAGAAGATATATCAATATTAGATTGAAAGTTATTCAGTAGTTCCTAAATCAAAGGGATATACCAATGCAATACCCTGAATAAACTCAAAATAAAAATTAAAAAATAGAATGAGAAAAGAATTAGGTGCAAAGGTCTTTCAAAGACATCCATAAGGACTAAAATAATTCCCAAAAGATATTAAAAAAAGTAATGCCAGAAAAATTTATATCTTCACCATTTCTTGCATGACAGGCAAATAAATGGAAGGAAAATCAAATCTTCCACATAGTAGTTACCTTAATTACTCGATGGACAATTGGAATTTCACGACCCTGAAAACAAAAGTATGTGCAACTTATATATTAGCAAAGTATACAAATACAAGGTGCACCTAGATGTCTGGATGGAAGTCATATATACGATAGAAGGAAAGATAAGAGAATCGCCAAAAGAAAAATATAAGAAAGATAAGAAAACAATTCTATTCAACCACAAAGAATGATCAAACACTACTAAACATCCAGAGCACAAAGAAGATAAAATCATAATATACATACAAAATTAAGGTAAAGAGCACAATTTGCTGTAACCAAATAATACCAACAACAAAGAGGGACTTCTAAGAGTTCTCATCATCATCAACATCCAAGCCTTGTCGCAACGATATGGGGTCAGCTACACAAATCCTGTTTTGACTATTCACCAAAAAATGCCAAATTAAGCATGTCCCTTTAATCATACATTTCATATATTTTCTTTACAGGTTTTACACGGTTACATTTTTTGAGTTCTTAGTTCCCACCTACCAAGATCATTATGGAATAAGTTCTGGTTCTTCTACTATGCCCCCATGGAGCAGGTGCATGTTTTTCAATTCTCTTCTTTCATTCATAAAGTTCTAGCATTGGTTGGAGAAAAAGTGAATTCATTATGGCACTCTTTTGTTTATAATGTTCTCTCTGCTGGAACTAATATATAGGGATGTCATTGGGTCACTTTAGTGGTAAACTCACCTTTAACCCATCCTTTTCGGCCAGGTTCAGGTTGCTCGTAATTGGGCTTGATTTGAAGCTGGCCCACACCAAACCTGACAAGTTGGTATAGTAATATTAAAAAATGTAAATACAGCCTTCAATAAGAATAGGGGTACTGTTCGCAGGGTGGGTTGAGACAGGTTCCATAGTCCTATTCTTTTTTGTAGGTTGAAGTTTGGGTTGGACCGTTGGAGTTGCTTGGGGAATGGTTCAGGTTGAGCCAAAGCCAACACATTGATGTCCCATCAAATATAGAATGGTACCCAGTTTTTCATGGGCAGATGGTCATACAAGTCAAAATCTGATGTGCACCCAAAAATCTGACTTGGCAAGACAAGAAAAGCATGGACTGACATAAACATCTAGAGAAAGAGATATACTATTAAAATAGTTTGATTTCTAACATCTGCACACCTACCTATTAAAATAATGTCTATGATATTTTCTTCATTTGTAAACAATGTTTTATAGGAAAAAATTATCCTGTACATTAGATGCATAGTTGTCAAGGTGCTGCTAGGCAACTTTTAGAGGTCACCTTGCCCAATGCCAAGATGGTTTTCATATTACCCATACATATTACATCATTTTTTGAATGCCCATATATATTATATCATTTTATTGGTTGGTTTTATTTTATTAAAATACTGTTTTATTAAGATAATTCTTCTTTTATTAAAACTATGAGCATATTACAAGATTCTTTGGATTTGAGTTCTAAACCAAGACTGAGAAGAGAAGACAGAGGACTAAGAAGTTTACATTAATTCACTTGAAGTCGTCCAGGACCTCCAGAACGACTAAGAACTTTAAGTCGTTCTGTGCTCCTGTATTTTTAGAAACGAAACAGGGGCTCCGCCTCCTCTTCCTCCTTCAAATGGTCCTATTACTCTTTTATTTAATGAAACTGGGGCTCCACCCCTTAAACACAGTCCAAGTCATCCTCTTATTCATGTATCTTTATTCTTTTTTTTAAGTTTTTTTTTTTTGCAACGAAACAGAGCCCCCTTATTTTATGCTTTCAGATTCCATCGCCTAGGCGTCGCCAAGGCGCCTGGGTGCCCTGTGGTTGCCTAGGCGGCTTGACAACTATGATTAGATGTTAATTTGTGTCAATAAGCTAGGAAAAAAACACGTGTCCCTGAAGACCCAATGGAGTGTCAGAATCCAAAGTGTGTCCAACACAGACACTTCATCCATTTAACCCATACAACAGATGGTAGTACACTAGTACTCTTGCTTACAACAAAAGAAAGAATATTAATCAAGTCAAATTGCATTCATGAACCAGTGCCTAGTAGATAGATCCATCTTATCTATGACATATGACACGTCTTTCGCAATTCAAGTCCTTTTATTAAATTGGATAACAGATATATTTCTGCCAGAACATGAATTCTATATTTGATGAAGTCAAGGTTCAAGCTATCGAAACACCCCAATATGGTGGAAGGGGTGTACCATTACTTTGTACCGCATGCTTTAAAAAAAAAAATTGGCTTGAGGGGTACCTTTAAGCATGGATTAACATATAAAAAAGAGCTTGAGGATTAACCTTAAAAATGCCATATTGGCACCCTGCTAATACGATACAATACAATACACCTGATACAGGGCGTACCGTGTCAATACTTTGAACCTTAGATGAAGTCTAACCCTATCAAGTAGTAGTCCCTTTAGCCTTTCACAAAACCAAGAAGCCCCCATCTCTTCCTGCCTTTCTTCCCCTGTATCCCTTACCTGGAAGGCTGGAACATTAAGAAAGGTTAACTTTTCCCCAGTGCTGATCTCCTCCAGTCCTTAAGAAAGGTTTACTTTTCCCCTCTTCCCCTGACCAATGCATTTGGGAATTCCACCCTTCCTGCAAGTTCTCTACCAAGTCCTATTTTTAAGACTCTGGTTGCAGCCAAGAAAACCTCATACTTCCTGGCCAAGAAGGTTTGGAGTCCCAACATTCCAGCTAGGGATTGTTTCATTGTATGAGAAGCTGACTTGAAGAGAATTAACACCTGTGACATCAGCCAGAAGAAGAATAGGGGTAGGTTATGCATTTGCCCCTATGTTTTTTGGTTATGCCTTAAAGATAGGGAATCAGCTGAACATCTTCTTAAGTGACCAGAAAAATTGGTATAATTTCTTAAATCTTATTGGCTGCAGATGGGTTGCTTCTAAGAATATTATGGACTTTTTTGGCAATGCAAGGCAGAGGTCTCAGTAGGAAAGGTAAAATTTATTGGAATATAGTAGCCCATGCAGTAATGTGGGGGTGTGGGAAGAAAGACAAAATCAAATCTTCACCAATAAGGCTCAATCTGCTAAAATCTAATTTCTCACATTTCCTACTTCTGTAATGAGTGGGCCATAAACTCTGAGGCTTTCAAAGGAATCTCCCTGACTAACCTATAAAGAAATGTTTAGAACTTTCTTCACTCCTCTCCAATGAGCCCATGGTTTAAAATGTCCCTAATTTCCCTAATATTTCCACAACATATTTCCATTTCCATGGGTAGTGACACGAAATTTTACTGGAATCAACATATTGCCCAATGAACACTACCAACACTATGTGGAGTACAAGTTATAACTTCAACAACATATTTCCATCTCCACTTCCTTGGATAGCAACATGAAATTTTACTAGAATTGACATACTCCTCAGTGAACACTACCAGCATTACGTGGAGTACAAGAGATAGTATTATAACATAAGTTGGTGACAATATTGTATATATGTGGAGTAACAACGCCTGACTTACATGATTACCACTTGGAGCTAGCTCAATATTCATTTTAAACATGAAACATGAAGTGAAATATTAGTTTTTGTTCGAGTAATAGATTTTTTTTTTTTTGATAAATGTTTGAGTAATAGATTATTGATTGGTCTATTACAACCATTTACATTTTCTATGAGTTTAAAATTTTCTTTAACTCATTCTATCATGAAGATTTGAATCTTAAGGTTTACAGGACAACTTCAGAATGTATTCATTTTTCTATAACCTTAGTTTCTTAGGTTTGTTTAATGATTTGGAACAAGATAATAATTTAAAAAGGCATGCCTATGCTTCTTTTGTCATTTTATAAAATATCATTCTATATATTTGCATATTTTACAATGTTTACACCATGTCTATAATTTTTACAATATTTTCCCACGATATTTCCGACATGTTTCCTATATTTGGATGACTGAGATTTCCACCAACACTGGCATGTTAAACCTTGAATGAGCCTAACCCTCCTCTGAGGTATCAGAACAAGATTAGAGGGGATAATGAAATTAAAGTTTAAGGAAGTGCTTCAGCTAACTTGAATAGGAGGTGTAATCAGAGGAGATATGGTAATTTGTGCTGGGCTTTTATTGGAATTGCAGATTCTACAAAGGCTGAGGTCATGGCAGCTCTCCCCAGGATTTAAATAGATAGAGATCTTGGCATCCCAATCTTAGCCATTGAAGGTGATTCTGTAAATACAATCAAATGGTAAAGAGTAAAGGACAGTGGTCCATGGTAGCTGGCTCACTATCTAGCAGAGGCCAGAGATAACCTTTCTACCATGTCTGCTATCCTGTTTTGGATTCCTAGAGATCTAAACATAATATCAGATGATCAAGAAAAATTTGGTGTTCATTTGGATACTTTGTATAGTGATCAGATCATGCCTTTGTAATCTCCAGGGTGCTTGTTTTTTCTGCTGTACATCATCTCATGTACTCCTCTTTATTTTTCTAATAGAAGTTATCTTTTCTCAAAATAGTAGCTTGCTTGGTATAAGTGATGGGTTCAGTGGAGAGATAGAAAGAGAGAGGAGTTTTTTTATGAACAGATAGATAGATATGAATGTAACAACAAGCCTGTAATACATAAATCTCAATAACAAAAGCTATGACAAAAAGAAATCAATTGATTAGTATCATGAATAAGCACATACATCAACATTAAACACAACAATTTCCCCCACACGAATAGGATCCTTGCTCATGTGCAAAAACAAGATATCACCCTGCAAGGAAAAGTTACCACTGCTTAAGTTAAAAACTGAGCCATATGAAGTACAAATACTGAAATAGTTTCAGTACAAAAAAAAAAAAATCATAAATACATTTAGGCAAATATCAGCACGTGAAACATTGATCTTATCATGTTGGCATCACAAGAATTAGAGATCATCTACATAAGTGAATGCCTAAAAAAATAGTTGACATCGGATCAATGATTTACATTTGCATCAAGCATGGCAATGATAACCAGCATATAACAGTGCTTCTTCTTAGTATTTAAATAGCCATTTCCACTAAACTGCAAAACATAGTCGTAGAACAAGCTCCCATACCAAACTGATATAGCACAAACAAAGGCTATAAGAGTACATAGAACTAAATAGGAAGACTGACAAAATGTGGTCATAAATGGAAACTATGGAATGGCAGAGAACTCACAGAAGCAAAGAATAGAGTACTGAGTCACAAAACCTTGAACTGGAATGCTTGGCATCCCATCCTAGTATTCTGATGTAATATTGGATAAAACCAAATAATTGATAAAAGATCTCAGAATTTTGGAATTGGAACAGCTTTGAGAAAAGTATGATAGTTATGCCATCAAAGCACAAAGGGCTAAAGAGAGTACTATTTAGTTCACCAAATGCCTTCTTAAAAGAAACAAACAGATATGTATGTGTATGTGTATGTGTAGCGAAAGTTTTCTTGCTAGCAAAGAATATTTAAAACTTCCAAGAAAGGAAAATGATCATTAATAGCGAAAGTTTTCTCATGCATTTCTTCAGATTCCTAGACCATTATTTAAAATGCTTTAGTATTTCTTATTGGAAAACTGTACACATTTTCATGGATTTCCAATTCAAAGGATCATTGATAGCAGAGAATTGCCATGTAGCCACTGACATTTAAAGATATTCATGGTTACTAAACAGATTACATGATGTTTGAACGTGGGGCATGGGTATATAATACAAGTTAGAGCTTGAAATATGAACTTGATCTAAGTACAGATTGGGCTTTTGACTTTTGATATAGACCTGGCTATGTGCTTGAGGTTGGCCGTGGGTTTAATGGGCTAGGACTGGACTTTGAACCCATCTAGAGGACCAACAAAGGCCCACTCAGAGAATAGCTTGGAAGTCTGGAAGTAGCTGAAGTGCTTCTCTGCTCCACCATCATCGAAGCACTAGTGCCTATAAACTTCTTGAAAAATAACAAGAATCAACTTATCCATTACCTTTAAAATATATAAAAAGGAGAGATCCACTCCCTCTTTTAGCTGTCCAGAACATTCTTATCCTCACTATGTCTTTTTTTTTGTTAATTAAAAGTGACAGTATTACAATTTACAAGTAGTAAAGTATATGCAACCCTAAGGCCCCGTTTGGTTTGTGGGAAGATTTGGGTGGGATGGGATGGAATGGGATGGGAAAGTGTAAAAATTTAAGTTTCCATTGTTTGGTTTTATTGGGATGGGATGGGATGGGAAAGTGTAAAAGGGGACCGAAATGACACTGTTCACCTTCCTCCTTCGTTCGAGACGAACAGAGGCGACGGCTACCCCCTTCATCTCCCACTCTCTTTCTCCTCTCTTCTTCTCGTTTCAACCTCTCTGTTTCCTCGACCTACACATCGACAGCCTATGCTTAAACTCGGGGTCGAAAATTCTTCCACCTCATCTAACTTCAGTCTCGGTAATGGTGTCTGGCCTTCCCTCAAACCGTCAACGGCCAGCACCGGCGTGACCCGCGCATCCCCGTTGCCGGCCTTGGACACGATGCGCACCGCCCCAGTATTCGAAGCCCGGTTGGCAGCCCCGTTCACACTTATAAACAAGGCTCCATGTTTGCTGCTTTGATAACAGAATCGACTATTGCAAACAGACACAGATAGAAGAAGTTGCTTTCAGCGTCGACTTGCTAGAGAAGATGCATATGGGACTCTCAGCATCGACTTCTTCTATCCAAACGGGGAAGTTGCTTTGGATTTTGGCCGTTGCGAGGGATTTTTGCCATTGTGTCGATTCCCCTACGCTGGTGGTGGCATTGGTGTCGGACACCTACGCTAGTGCCGTTGAATAGCACTGTGTTGTCAGATTTCTATGTTAGTGCGCGTGGGACCTTTGGCATGGTCATTTTGGGATCTCGCATCCCACTTTTTTCTCATCCCATCCCACTCTTTCCCTCAAAACAAAGATGAGAAAAGGGAATATTTTTCGAATATTCCCTTTTTCTCATCCCCATCCCACAAAGCAAACAGAGCCTAAGAGAATTTCAAGATACGACCTCTCCCTTTATAAAGAGAAAAAAATTACAAATGCACCGAAAACAAATGAACCCTATTCACCCCTTGTTTTGTGAGAGTATCAGCAAAAGCATTGGCTGCCCTCACCCAATGTATTTCCATATTCATGTTTCTTGTTAGCTCTGTAACCCCAAACTATAGACTTCAGCTCCTTCAACCACCACATTAGAATCATTTTCAATTAACAAACTTTCCCTCTCATTTGAAATTTTAACACTCTGCAACACTGCAAGCAAGTTAGCTTTAGTAGAGTCCCCCCAGACACCAACTCCCACTTATTCTGAGAAAAAAGCAATAACATTTCCGTCCTTATTTCTCAGAACTCCCCCTACTCCAAATGGATCCAAATTACCTTGGTTGTTCCCATCAAAATTCAGTTTGACAAAACCTTCTAAAGGGGGCTTCCCTACTGATATTACTTTTTCTTTCCTGGAAGATTCCAAGTTGACAATCAATGCTGTAAAAACAATGTGTTTAATCAAAGAAAAATAAGAGAAAACAAATCTGAAACAGAAGGGACAAAGAAGAGAGGAAAAAAAGAAAAAGAAGAGAGAAGAAGAAAGAGAAAGTTTGGAAGAAGAGATCATAGCTGACTCCCAGTAGTAGGGCGGCTATCGGCTGCTAGAGTAAACCAATAAAAAAAATAAAAGGGGCCTTAAGCCCATAACAACTGAAGCCCAACAAAAATAAAAAATAAAATAAAAGAGGGGACAACTAAAGAGCTGTCCAACCCAATATCTCAACAGACATTTTTTACCCAACTAAAGAGTGTTATAATATATATATATATATAAAAGAAGGAAGTCTAGGAATTTTCTCCTTTTTTGATTTTTTTATTTTTTATTCCATGTCATTTTTTTAAAATAACCAATGAGATGCTCTCCTTCCCCATAAAAAAAATTATCTAAAATCTCTCTCTCACTCACCCACACATTCCCAACAATCTCCTCTCCTAAACCACCTCCCCCACTTTCTCCTAAATCATCTCCAATTCCTATTTATCTCTTAACTTATCTCTAATTAACTAGAGAGTTTCTCTCCAAATTATCTCTAATTCCAATTTATCCTCTTCCCCGCTTTTTATCTATCTATCTATCTGTATATATATATATATATATATATATATATATATTAAATATATAAAGAAAGTTTAAATTAAAAAACTTAAGAATTATTTAAATATATAAATATTTAAAGTTATTAAATATATAAATAACTAAATATTTGAATAAGTTTATTTTAAATAGATAAAATAACGAAATTAAGCAATAAAATAAAAAAAATCTTAAAAATAAAAAATAATCACAATTATGTATAGTAATAGTATAAATTATAATTTTATAGATTATTAAATTCAATAAATAATTAAAATTATAAAATTATTTAAATAACTAAATAATATTTTAAATATCCAATTTCACTTGTATCAATTAATAGTTCTAGATAAATAACTTTCAAAATAATAATATCCATTAATAATGATTTTAAACTCTTAATCAATATTTATTATATATTTATATATACTAAAATTAATATTTTTGTATTTTCAGCAATTATTTATAGTTTTTTGTGATAAATATATTTTCAATAATTATGTATAAATCTATATTTGTTTTGTTATTTAACAGAAAATTTTTAATAATTATTGGATATTAAACTACTGTTGTTTAACTTTCTAAATTTAAGTTATTGTACTTATTGTATTTATTATATTTTTGTTATAATTTATTCATTGATATTTATTAGAGATTAAACTATTATTTGAGATTAGAATATTTATTGACTAATTTAATATAATTTTTAGTATTTATTGTATTTTTGTAACTATTGTATTTTTATTAGTTAATTATTGTATTTTCATTATCAATATATTTTCAATAATTGTGTATTTTCTCTATAAATTTTTAATAATTATTGGAGATTAAACTACTTTTATTTATTAGAGATTGGACTATTAATTTAGCTGAAATTAGGTGTTGATCACGGTCCGGTATAGTTCGGTTGTAGGATATTTGGCCAACCAAATTGATATGGTCAAGTTGGGGAATTGGTTACCTGAAATCTACTGACCATTAGTGAAAACCAACTAAATCGGGTTGTATTGGTTTGGGTTGATTTTCGGTTTGGTCGGTTGGTTCAAAAGATTTAAACTTAAAAGATTAAATTTAAAACTTAATTTTAAATTTTAAAAATTACATTGGCATTATTAAAAAATAAATTTTAAAAAATTATATTTATAATATAAAATATTTGAGACTAAGATATATGGGAATTTCCCCACTTTTCTGTATTAAAAAAATTATATTTAAAATATAAAATATTAATATATATGTGATCGTGTCATTTGATTTTGGTCAATTTACAAATGGCCACATCAAAACTGATCCAAAGTCGATAGAAAATATTAGAAACTGACCAATTCGGGTCAAGTTGATTGGGTTGGTTGGTTTCATCAATTCGATGAACAAGCTTAGTTGAACTAAATTATTTGTTATTTTTGTATTGTAAAAAGTATTAAAAGTATTACAAAATTTAAATAATTATATTAATTATTTAAAAAGTTAGAAATATAAAACAATTGTATACTCTTATGTATTGTTTAGCTTTCCTTAACAAATCCCGTGCACCGCACGGGTCCCCACTAGTAATACTAATAAAATCCACCTTTCGAACCTCCTTGTTTATTTCCTATCCATTTTTTCTTATTTGTAACAATTGAGTTTTATTGAACCTATTAAACAGAATTTACTAATTTACAAAAGATGGTAGACTAGCATACATGTACGCTACTCTAAGAAATCTTACATTAGGTTCCCTTTGGAACCTCTCCCCAAGACAGATATCCGATTTCCCTTAGAATGTATATATGCATATCAATGTTCCCAATGTTTTTCTCCTTAGCCATCCCACTACCACCTTGGAATCCCCCCTACTATTTCCTATCCATGTTTAAAGTATCAAGGAAAGTAATAAAGCTTAAATAGAATTGAGAAAACAATATGAGGTTTTTCGTGGGAAACAGATCAAGAAAGAAAATATCATCCTAAAAGTAGGAAAAAGTGATCAAAGATAAGTAGGAAGGTTGTCTTGGAATTGAAAGATTGAAAGATAAAATACATAGAACTTTTGAGGAAATAGTTACGGAAATTCCCCAAGGAAGATAGGGCATTGTGGCACTTGGTGATAAAAGGTATAGTCTTCCCTTTTACCTTTTTCTAATGAGTTCTCCTTTTACCCTAGTTATACAATATGATATGGTTTAATTGGCACTACACCTAAAAATATTGCACCGCATATACAGAAACACCAATCCAAGCCACAAGGCAATCCCATAAAGCACCTACAGATTTGAAACACCTGCCCTTCTGGACCACTAGTGTCACATCCAGTAAATGAGAAAAGCCATTCCTTAACAAGTTTCTGGAGGAGAAAAACCCTGTCCAACCATTATTTTGGTATTATTGATTAAACATTTTGGAAAGGGATAAAAGAAAGGAGACAGTAGAACATAATTGACAAATGCAGAAATACTGCTTACAATGTTGTACCAGTGGTAATGATGATATTATTACTTCAAAAGGCAATAATGACTAGGTTGAAGTAATCATTTGATCTGGTTTAGTATATATCACATCATATCTTCAACTTTGCAACATGCATGACTAAACTTTTTTTATTGGTAACATACATGACAAAAACAATATGATAACATTGCAATAAAAAGAGTCCATTACCCAATGTTGCAAATTGCAATACAATTCATTAATATGCAAATGATATTAATAATTTAGCATACAAATTTCGCTTTTCAAAGAGGAATAATATTTTCAGGCTCTAAGCTCTCAATAAAGCATCAGCAGTAATTAGTTGATAATGATGTTGTTTAAGAAGACTCAAGTGGTGTAGTATCCAGAAATTAGTTGATAGAGAGGTTATGATTGGAAAAGGCTTGGGTCTGTTTTTTTTGGGGGTGGTGAGGAATTTGATAGGAGGGCTTTTGAGGAATTTGAAAGAAGAAAAAAGGAAGAGAAAGTGAAAAACAAAGCTCATCCACAAGGGAGCAAGGCATGGTACGAGGATTACTCAGCCCAAGAGGATATGCTCACAGATGAAGACTGATGTGGGCTTCAGGAGGGGGATCTTTGTTTTTGTTTAGTGTTGTGTTAGTGGTCCTTGTTTTAATGGGGATTTGCATTGGGTCTGTTCATCAATATTCATTTGGATTTGATTGGGTAATTTTCATGTTTGTAAGCTGTGGTTTTCTTGGGTCTTTTTGGGTTTCCTGAGATTGCACCCATGCTTTTGGCGATATCTTATCACCTTCTGCTGACTGCTGTACTTATTCCTTTTTTATTTATTTTTAATGAAAATTTTCTCTTTATCCTTCAAAAAAAAAAAAGACAGCATCAGCAGTAATCATAAAGAAGTTGTTTAATAATAATAATAATAATACACTAATTAGACTAACCCTCTTGAAGCCAGGTTCCATGCTTCCAGAGAGGACAACAACAACAGGTGATTCACTGCCAGTGATGCACATTAATCCCTTCCATATTATCAATGCTGATGTAACAATCATACCTGAAATAGATTATGGAATCGGACATTATTAGATTCATACATGCACAGACCCTTAAAGAAAACAAAAGACATCCATTATGCACATGTACCAAAAATTTCCTTCAAACTAAAGCACTTTTTCTAAAGGATTGTAAGCACTTCTAGTCTACATTTTGAGGGAATTTTCCAAATGGAATCACATATCAACATGGTTTAAATGAAAACTCCAGACCATGAATTACATTGCCAAGAAAATGGTACTCTATTCAAAAGGCACAAACTTGTGGACCTTATCTTTGCCTTATTTTAAGCTCAAAGCATGGTCATGTTTTTCGCTTTGCACACAGAGGTAAACAGAAACCACACCACCATAGCTTCTTGAAACAACCACCTAATTTTCAAAAGAATCCATTACTTCTTTCTTTTTTTTCTTTTTTTTGTCAGGGTGGGGTTATTTAAAGTCCACTTAGAGTGGAAATCCTCTATGCCTGTAATGGTTATACCTTTGCAGTTTCAAATTTATCCAAGGATTTCATACCAGATAATCTGAATCCTATTTAATTCTATTGATAAATAGAGCATAACCTAAACCATGGTTGCCTCTAATTAACATTAATGTTAGTATAATACACAACCTAAGAAAAAACTCCAAGACCAATACTGCTTCAAGATAGAATACTGTCAAATATGGGCATAAAACGTCTTATACCAAATTATTGATGGAAACGCGATTCACATTCCATGTCCAGATAATTTGATGCTAAGGGGAAAAAAAAGAAAGAAAATAAATGAAAAAAAAAAAACAAAACTCAATAATGTAAAGATGAAACAGAAATAGTTAAATACCAAAACCATACTGACAAGATCACTGCACACTGGAAGGACCTAAGGTCATGTTAAATTGACTCGTGGTAGCTTTCAACTTGTATGAATAAAAAATTCAAACAGCGCCATATATAACAATTTTTCCTTACAATGCTCTCGCAGGCGGTTCCATGCTCATGAAAACCACCAGATTAAGGTAGCCTCCACGACCATGAATTCTTTCATAGTAAAAAAAAAACATTAAAGCAATTAGGACCAATTTTTTGTTTCGGGTGAAGGCAATTAAAGGCATTGAAATATCGATCTTCTTCTACAAAAAGCAATAATCAGTAAGTAAACCATAAAACCCTACTCCGTATCAACAATTCAACAGATCAAAGACAACCAGTTCATTAAGAGAGAGAGGGGGTGAGAGAGAGAGTTTTACGAACCAAGACTGACGGCCTGAGAGAGAACATGTCTGATCTGAAGAGATTTGATGGAGTCGATGGTCTCTCCTATCCAGCCCATTTCCTTCTCCTTTTAGCTTCTGTTCTCTTTTTCTTCTCCCCTTCGTTTCCACCTGCTTTGTCGCTGTCGCAGTACAAAGGACCTTTTATACTGTCCGATGTACGCTGTTGAGTCGAATTAACTCGCAACCCGGACGAGTTGTCCACGTCCACTATGAGGTTTATTGTATCCGAGGCTAGCCTTGTCATTCATTGCGAGATGTTCTCAATCCACAGCGTTGATGTTAGGGAGCTCGCGTTGGACGAGTGAAACCCGCATATCACTTTCGTTCACGTCGACAGGAACGCGTAACGTTAACATTCAAAGTCCCGTTAAGACGGGTTCGGCGGTTCAACCGGCCATAAAATGACAAAATGAAAATCGAAAGGAATGAGAAAACCTTATTTTGCATTTCCTCGGGACTCGGGAGACCGAACCCTACCCACACACAGGCGACGTAGACGAAAGTGATTCGTGTCTCACTACCTCCACTCTCGACCACTGCAGCAAATCCCAACTCAATTCAATCGAAGATCATCTAACCGTTGAACTTAATCTGGATTTTCAATTATTTTCCCACCTTATGAAACCTCAATTCTCTTTCTTCCTGCCAGAGTTTTCTTTGATGCTATATACTGTTTTAATCTGAAATCAGAATCGCATTTTGGCTCTCAAATTTTAATCCGAAATCACCTGGTTTTCTTACTTTAGCTTTCACGGAAATAAAATTTCAGTATTTTTTCGGGGGTGGGGGGAAGGAGGGGGTTCTGTACATTTCTTACAAATGAGCCTGAAAACTCGTGCATCTGGCTCAATTTTCTTTGAAGCGAGAGTATTTGTTGTTTTCTTTGTTCGCATTACAGACTTCGCAATTGCCGATAAATTGCAATATATATTTGCTTTTCTACATTTTCTGATACACAACTGAAATTTTCCGGCAAGGAATAAATTTTTTGAATGGTTTTTTTATTTATGTTCATTTAACCAATTCTTACATTCTAGCCCCTCAAGAAAGAAATAACCGATTTGCGATAAGAGTAAAGGAAAATTTTTTTTTTTCCGTTGCGTGTGCGTTATCTTAAAGCTGATGTTGTTTTCTTATTCTAGATGTTAGAAGAGTAATGTCATAAATACATTTAAAGCTTTCTATCATATTTAATGAAAGAAAAATCCAATCAGATAATTGGCAAATTCCATACTTTTATCTTAATTTAATGTCCTTGCCGAATTCGATTCAATCTTACTTCCGGCTTCTCTGTACACATTGATTTATTCTCAAATTAAACTCTCGTTGAAGAAGAAGAAGAACCAACTATTGGAGATTCCTTTATTTCTTTTCTTGTTTCTGACCTCGTCCTGGAAGCTGAGTCCTCGCCGTCACTGATCAATACGAAAATGAAATCATGCGAAACCAAAACCAGCATCTTCGCCAAATACATTATCTTGTTAACATGTACGCCCTAGATTGTTTACTCGGTGCCGGAGAAGTGCCTTCTCCGACACATGACCTTCATTCCTTACGCAAAAGCTCATGGCACAGGCAAGACTTCGGCGGAAATTACTCAAAGCTTTCGGTTTTTCTTTTGTTTTTTCCATTTCCTTCTTCTTTTTCCTGCAACTTTAATCTAATCGGCGGATCTAGATTTCATTTTACCAACTTTGGACCATCTCTCACTCTCTCTTACTTTTCTGCTTCAGTTTGTCTGGACAGAAGTTTGCCTGCATATTATCAATAGAATCCCACCTCTGGCTCTGGCGCTGCTGGAACAATAGTTTAACTGTTAGTGTCTGGTTGAACCGCTCAACTTGTCCAAACGGGACTCTGACTGTTAACGTTACGTGTTCCTTCTCCTGGTCGGCGTGGACGAAAGTGATTCGCGGGTTCACTAGTTCAGTGCACCCATGGGTGCACAGAACGCGAGCTCGGTGTTAGGGATGCAACTTGGATGGGCCCAATCCGAGCCTGGACCTTCCCAACGGCCTGGGCTTAAATTTTTGGTCATCAACCAGGCCTAGGCCTAAAAATTTGGATTTTTAAATTTTTTGGGCCTAGCCCGACCTTATCCCAACCTGACATCAGCTCAATTATATACATGTAGAAGTGCATATATAAATATATATTTAAATGCATAAATAATTTAATAAAAAATTGCATATATGCACATTTTTTTAATAAAGTATACATATATGAATGCATGCATACAAATATATGCATATGTATATCAATTTTTAGTATGGGGAAATTAACCAACCTGATTCTAGCCCGCCTAAGCCCAATTAGAATGCATCAAATTTTAGTACAGGTTGGGTTTAAGCTAAATAATTCAGACTTAACCTCGGGCTTAAGCTTTAATCCTAATGCTTAGAGTTGGGCTTAAATTGAGCTAAAACCTGGCCTAACCCGCCCAACTTGCACCCCTAAGTGCCTAAGTGGTGTTCTCGTGGGTAAAGATGTGGGAAACATTGTGGGTAGCAGATCCGGATCCGGTGTGTCAAACCAGTTGAAAACAATACATTCATGGGTTCAAATCTGGCACCAACACGATGGCTACCAACGTTGTCCCAACATACCACGAAAGTGTCGCATGTCCAAGAACATGGGTGCAGGCTTCCATGTAAAAGACCAACCTCTCCCCTTTCCGATCAGTCGATTACTATTTGCATTTCTTTTCATTTCTATTCTTGATTATCATCAGAATAGAGTTCGACCCTCTAAGCCCTAGCTTCCTACTACGACCATATTCCGATGAACAATTTCCACCAATAACTAATCCCATCCCATCCGACCCAATAATGGTTACATTCACCGATGATCAATCCCATCCAACTAGGTGGTCACATTCATCAACAGTTAATGCACAATAGAGGAGACGGGATCTCCTAAAAACAAAAATTGTGAGCTCAAGTTCTTTGCTAATATTCTCTTCATGTACTTTTAATTTAGTTATTTTTCTTCCTTACAAATGATTTTTCCAATCTAATCTACTACTGGTTTAGGGAGTTGCAAGAGGGGGTTGTAAGCCGGCTTTAGATTATTTTGAATATGGTTCTGGTTCAATAATTCAAAGTAACCCATGTAGTATGGTGGCATTGCACAAATACATTGAGTCGGATGACTTGGGCTGAACCGAGTCAAATCGATCTAATTTAACATAATTTCATGAAAGGTTTGCTAGACATTTCAACACAATGTAAAATCAACATGTCTTATTGGGTAATGAACGTTCTAGAAGGGCAAATGCATGTAAGTTGTGAATATTATAGAAAGGTAAATAAACATGTGCATTAAATGAGTGAATAAGGAACATTCTAGATTAAAGGGTAAAATTAGATAAGATAAATAACATGAAAGATTTGGAATGAGAAACTTCTAGATTTCAACCCACCAAAACTCTATAGCATGGTTTTCAAAATCAGATCAGACCAGAAAAACCAGAACCGGTCCATTTTCCACAAAAACTGGATTTACCCCTAAAACCGTTGATTTTGGTCAATGAACCTCTGAACCGGGCAGTTAATCATTCAAACGGTTTTGGCCATTTTTTTTTTTTTGTCAGAATGCAAAAACGAAGATGAGGAGGTGGAATGCAAACAAAAAAAGAAGGGTGGGAAACAAAAAGAAAAAGAACAAGATGAGGAAAACAAGGTGATGAAAATTCAAGAACTAGCCAAGACAAACCCCAAAAACATTTGAAAACCCAAGCTCTAAAGATGAAGAGGTAAACGGTGTTCAATATAGGTGATCTTGGAGTCATCGGATTTTGAATTTTGGGTTCTACGTGCCAATGGTGTTGAATTTCTAATTTGACTTGAGATAACATTCAAGATCAAAATGATCCTGATCGGATGATTGGATTCGATTCCAATTTCCAGTCTTAAGCTAAAGGGGTAAACATGGTTAGATTTGGGAGATCTTGGTGTCGTCATATTTGGAAATTTGGGCTTCATGTGCCTATAGTGTTTGATTTCAGACTTAATGTGAGATGTGTTTCAAGAACAAAATAACTTCAATCAGACGGTCGGGATTGGTTTTGACTTTGGGTCTTAAGAAGGGGTAACCGATGTTAGATTTGGGTGATCTTTGTGTCGTTGGATTTGGAATTTTGGGCTTTACATAACTATGGTGTTCAATTTCTAATTTGATGTGAGATGAGTATAGGACCAAAATGATGATAATCAATTTTGTTTTTGAGTCTTAAGATGAAGGGATAAACGATGTCGATTTTGGGTGATCTTCATATTTTCATATTTGGAATTTTGGGCTTTACATACCTATGGTGTTAAATCATAGAGGTCCCAACTTTTGTAAAATTCTAATAATCCCCCCATGTTGATTGAGAGATTAGTTGAATAATGCTTGGAGCTCAAAGTGCTACAGGAAAATTGGGGTGTCTACACACTTTATTATCTGTCACTATAATAACCCATTATAATAACTAGTAAGTGTGCACATGGCAATTTCATGATGGTGATGATAGTAAATAATGTTACCAAAATTTTCTATAATTTTTTTTTATATTTCTATATTAATAAAAGTTATTCTTATTTGTTAGACTTATTTTTGTTTAATATGATGAATATGCAATATTAAAGATGTGCTTAAATGTTTTTATAATCTTTTTTTTTTGTATTTTGTATACTTTTGTATGTTAACATTTTTTTTAATTTTTATTATTATTTAATTATGCATTAAAGGTTGATACATTTTGACCCAAAAGGTTGAATTGTTGACTTGCCACCAAATAGGAAAATAACTCAATCTTTTGGTTTGTTTTAAATTTGTATTTTATTTATGATGAGGGGTGATTTGGCCCAACCTATTAGCATGCGAACACGTGGATCGACCTGATGATTGGATGACGACTCAGCGTTCCCTACCACCTCAGCAGGCCAAGTCAGCTCGAATACCTCGGGCACCTCGACCAAGACCGAGGTCCGAGCAACTGATGATGGCCCGACCTGCTTAGGTGACACATAGCCAACTTCTAGAAGCTAGCAAGCCGTATCCAACGCACCCAGGATCACACCACACGACCACAAGCCTTATCCTTATCCCGTCCAGATTGGACAGACTTGATAAGCCTTATCAGCT